AGCCGGTACTAATGAGGTGGGCTCAGGTGATGTTATTATAGGCTTATGGAAAAAGAGTCTAGAAAATACAGGTAAAGTCTGATGTGTTCTCTCTCTCTCTCTCTTTCACACAATCCAAGTCGTTCTCATTTTCCATTCTCTCTCACCTTCCTCTTCCTCCTACCTAACATCGCCTCCTCATTGTCCCTCACTCTTCCATCTCTCCCCACCACCACTCACCAACAACCCCCCCTTCTCTCTCCAACAATCCTCCCTCATTATCTCCCCCGCCAACAAACAAACCCTCTCTCCCCACCACCCTGACCAACAACCCCTTCCTCTCTCCCCACCACCCCTGACCAACAACCCTCCTCCCCACCACCCTGACCAACAACCCCTCCCTCCCTCCCCACCACCCTGACCAACAACCCCTCCCTCTCTCACCACCACCACCTGACCAACAACCCCTCCCTCTCTCCCCCACCACCCTGACCAACAACCCTCCCTCCCTCCCACCACCCTGACCAACAGCCCCTCTCTCTCCCTCCCTCCCCACCACCTGACCCCTCCCCCTCCTCCCCACCCACCCTGACCCTCCACCCCCACCAGGACACGCTCCTGGTCACCCCTTATCTCTGGGTCCCTCTGGTCTAACATCATCGCCTCACCTAACATTGCTTTTTTTTCACCTGTCTTGACCATCAGGTAAACACAGGTAACTGGCAACTCATCCCCCCCCCCCACCTGTGTCTATTTCTGGGGACTGAGCTATTATTGTCTATTGTTAATTGTCTATGTGTAACTCCTTAAAATTGATCAAACCAGCTGTATTCCTCCTTAAAAGTGATCAAACCAGCTGTGTACCTCCTTAAAATTGATCAAACCAGCTGTATTCCTCCTTAAAAGTGATCAAACCAGCTGTGTACCTCCTGTGTCTCGTCTAGGAATTGATCAAAGCAGCTGTGTCTATATATGTCCTGGGAACTGATCGATTAGGTTATGGTTATTTGCTCACCTGGTTTCATCTCCTTGTTGAGTAAATGGCTTATGGGTGGTCGACGGAGTTGTTTCCTCTCACTCTTATCTCCTCTCCTCCACTCCACACCTACCCCCCCCCCTGAACCCCCTTACACACCACCTCTACTCCTCTCCAAACACCCCCCTCCACTATCCCATCCTACCCTCCCTCACCTACCTCCATTCCGTCATCCACACCCCCACTCCTCCCACATACCACCCCTTTCCACACCCTTCTGTTACAACCTAGGTTCAACCACTCAGTAGTCATGGTATACCAGAGCCATAAACGACTCCCAGGTGATAGGGGAAATATTACACGTGGGCGTTTAGCAGTACCTGATGAGTCTATTGTTGTAACACAGTGGGCGGACCTGACGATAAGGCACGCTACTGGTGGTGATGATGGGTGGTGGGTGGGTGATGAGGGGTGGTGTGGTGGTGTGAGAGTGGTGGTGAGTGGGGTGGTGGTGGTGGGTGGTGGTGGTGGTGAGTGGGGGGTGGTGATGGTGTGGTGATGGTGAGAGACAAACAGACAGACAGATTAGCCTATCGAGTGATCTTTACTACACAGTGTTATGTGGCAGTGGTGTGGTTGTAATGTGGTTATATTGGATGTGGTTGTAATTCGGCCATTGTGTGGTTGCTACGTGAGGAGGAAGGAATTATTCAACTGATTTATGTGTAAAAATAAAAATAATTCTTGTTAGATAAAATTTTCTTTCTTGATTATAAAAGGATTTCAGACCACTGCTAACTTCTAACCCTAACTTAATCTAAGCTATATTAATCTAACCTAACCAACACAAACTTAATCTAAACCAACCAATGTTAATCTAACCTAAACAAAATTAACCTAACCTATATTAAATTAATCTAACCTCCAGAATCAATCACATATTAACATTAATTTTAAAAGATACGAAAAATTAACAAATTAATTTTCCTCCCCTAAAACACTTCCATTACTTTACCTCTCTGACTTAAGACACACTTGAGAGAGGCACTTAAGAAGACTAACTGGTTGGCCTTAAAAAGACACACTCGCCGAGACAGGGTGACACTCATACACACACACTCGGGACACTTAACACACTTGTCTGGTCGATATACATCTTAGTACACAGTCTATCGGCACCAACAGGAGGTACACAGGGCGGGCTACACTGTCAGGTACACACAGGGCGGGCTACACTGTCAGGTACACAGGGTGGGCTACACTGTCAGGTATACACAGGGCGGGCTACACTGTCAGCTATACACAGGGTGGGCTACACTGTCAGGTACCTGGGGCGGGCTACACTGTCAGCTATACATAGGGCGGGCTACACTGTCAGGTATACACAGGGCGGGCTACACTGTCAGCTATACACAGGGCGGCGATGGTAGAGAATACACTAGGAGGGGGTGTAGGAGGGTGTTCAAGGTGTGAAGATACCTGTATACCTACACTATCTCGGTACACAGCTTGGTGATACTTGGTGGTGTTGGTGAGAGAGAGAGAGAGAGAGATTGTATGTTACGTACACACACACACACACAACAGTTATATAACGTTACTGTTGGCTATAGTAGACGTAGTTTTCATATATTATTCACTATATATATATATATGTGACGTAGTTATAAATCATATATGAAATTACGACCATAATCGCCGTATATAATCTTGTCGTTTATATAAGCCGTAGTTACTAATCACCTATAGACGTAGTTACTAATCACCTAAGTCAACAGATATATATTAACCCTGTCGTATATATGGCTTATAATAGACGTGGTTTGATATAAGGCGAGAGAATTATATATGTGGCTTATATACGTAGTTTGATATATGACACCAAGATCATATATAAGGTGTATGACAGGTAGGCACGGACAGGTAGCCACGGACCGGACAGGTAGCTACGTATAGATGACCACTTACAAGTAACCATACACACACAACCACGGACAGGTAACCACGGACAGGTAGACAAAATATAAAAAAATCACTAAAAAGAAATTTAAAACAGGTTCATATATGACTAATATGGACGTGGCCTAGAGAGGGGGGAGGGGGGTGACGTAGGCTACCTGATAACCCCCCCCCCCTTTATTAAGTGTCGTAACGGGGGAGGTGTTTACGTGTTTGTGGTGAGGTACAGGTGAGAGATTGAGACGTGTGTGGGAGGGTTGTGTGGGGTAGGAGGGAGGTTGTGTGGGGAGTGGGGGGGTAGGAGGGAGAGGTGTGTGGGAGGGGAGGTTAAGAGGTATGTGGGAGGGGGGAGGGGGATTGGGGGAGATGTGTGGGACGAGGGAGTGGGGAGATGACAGGTGGAGAAGTGTGTGTGTGTGTGTGTGTGTGTGTGTGTGTGTTACAAGACTCATTAAGGATAAGATGCACCAATAAGAATCAACAACTCAGTATGCATGAACAAATAAATACCCCAATTTAATTTTGCTCTTCAAATAACCATAGTAAATAATTAGTTACGATATCCACAGGTAAACCATAGTAAATAATTAGTTACGATATCCACAGGTAAACCATAGTAAATAATTAGTTACGATATCCACAGGTAAACCATAGCAAATAATTAGTTACGATATCCACAGGTAAACCATAGTAAGTAATTAGTTACGATATCCACAGGTAAACCATAGCAAATAATTAGTTACGATATCCACAGGTAAACCATAGTAAATAATTAGTTACGATATCCACAGGTAAACCATAGTAAATAATTAGTTACGATATCCACAGGTAAACCATAGTAAATAATTAGTTACGATATCCACAGGTAAAAAGACCAATTAATTTACTCTATTATTTAATCCATATTTCCTGATCTAAAAGTTATAAAATTTTTGGATAATTTTCCTTAAACTTTAGAGGAAAGATATACATTAATTAGTATCATTATGAAGGGTTTAATAATGTGCTCCTTCAGGTGTTAATGATAACAGGTGAGATGACTTCCAATAAGACCTCTATAAAACTCTAAAGCAATCCCTAGCTGTTGTATCGTGTATATTTATCATTGTATTAATTGGTGTATGCCTCGTGTATCGTGTTGTATTAGTCTCGACACTGTATCAGGTTGTATTAAGTGTGTATTGATGTATTGGTTAGGTACAGGTGTTAAGGCAGTGATGAAAACAATTAATTATTTTATAACACCTGAGGTAATACTGAGACAGGTATATCGCTTTAGCTATATAATTTCCCTTACTAATTATACACTCTGATAATCGCTTGTGTTAAATAATCCCATATAATCACACCTCTATACTATATAATGTGTGATAATTTAAGCTATATTATATAAGATTATATTTTCTGGTTTAACAATGTCTACCTTGATGGATGACCTGGAAATTAACCCCTCTACAATTTATTTCACCTGAGGATTAAACCACCTAAGGGGAGGGTGGTTTAGGATTAGCGTGAAGGTGTCTAATCATCAGGTGAAATAAGCTAAGGTGGTTAATCTTCAGGTGACTCACACAGGAGTAACATACTTCCATCGATCGAGGTATAACGAGGGGTCTGATTGAGTCCTCCAGGTTAGTATATCATTATTAATAAATCCTCTTACCTCTCTAGGTTATATTTCACACCTGGAACATATAATCCCGTGGAGATTAAGTGGGCAAGTAATCCTGGTAATCAAATGCCCATAAAATCCCCCAAGGGTATTAATTTTACCCTGATGAAGATTAATGCCCCTGTTTTAACATTGGTCAAGTTTCGTTAATCCACCTTGGCGATTAGGCTAAACTAAACTACATTATCAATTATTTTTATTATAGATCCTTATATATATATATATATATCATTAAGACTTAATTACTACTTAGGGTAATTAGAATCATATCAGAAATAACATGGGATTATAATGGAATGAGTAATTAGTCCTATATTGAATTGACCTACCTAAATGAAGCGTGACCTAATGACCTGACCTATATTCGAGTTTCCTTTTGGTTTCCTTAAGATGTAGTTAGTGTGTGTGACGTACCTCGGAAATCTCGGCGGTGGAGTTTCCGTGTGGCAGGTATGGATGATGGTACTTGAATGTAGAGTCCTTGTAATCTTCAACCCTCTCCACCAGCTCCACCATTGCTGTTCATCGAATGTGGACGCCTGACGAAGTGGATGATGAGTTCTTGAAGTGGATCGATCCTCCACACACACACACACACAGACAGACACACTCACACACACATACACACTCTATTTAGATGATTCAAAATCCAATAGGTTCTTTCACAATGAGTTATCGTCTGTATGATAACAATAGCATCACACACACATGTTATGAAGCCACCAGAGAGATCAGTCTTTGTTATGGTGTTAAGTAACCAACCACAAGTCTTTCTTTACAGTCTATGGGTTAAGTCTCATTTTCAAGACTTTAACAAAACAGTAAATAATAATGACTTGGTTTCCTCTGAGTTGATGACGATTTCTTGTAGTGTAGAAAGCGACTATGGACGTTGGTGACTCTTATTGGCTCTTTTGTAAACAACACAACAAATGCTAATGAGATTCCTTTAACTCCTTCTTTAGTTTTCTTTATATCTTTTATTTCTGGGGATGAAGTAACAGTCTCTCTCACCACTGGAATATTTCGGGGAATCTTTATTTTTCTTGTATTTGTACACTCACGGGGGTCATATCTTCACTACGTATATATAGAGGGAATAACACTGAATATTACCCCGGGTTAGATTGATGGGATTCAAGAGGATGTTTTTTGTTTTGGTTTCCCTGTCGTGTTGCAGTGGTTGTTGTCGCGTGCGGTGGTGGAGGGCGGCGGAGCCAGAATAAGGAAGTGTTGGGGGTGGTGGGGGGGCAGGTGAGAGGAAGGCTGGGTGTCCGTGACTCCCTGCCTACGCCTTCTACACTTGGTGGTGTAGCCTTGGACAGTCCTCCTTCAGAACACTGCGGGAGAGGTCCGCCACACACCCTGCCTGCTCGACGGTCACACGTGCTCTGGAACACTCACTCAAAACTCTCCTCTCTCTGTATTGGTCACATGGTCGAGTCCTCGCGCGTTCCGGTTGGGTTAATTTTAACAATGACGTCACCTTGAGCCAATCCGCTCCGACTTACCTGCGCTGGCGGACCAATCGACGCGCTGGATCCAGGGTGATGGGTGGAGTCTAATGTACATTACATGTTGAAAAAATAAAATACTAAGATAGAATGATACGAGCGCTAACATGGCCATGTATGGAGGAACCTCATAATATTCCTCCACACTTACGTCTGGCGAATGATGGCCAGGAGTGGTGAAGGCTGCTACCACCTCCACCACCACAATATTTATCACCCCTCTGATGGTAGTCTGATCAATTAGGAACAAATTATCCTTAGGTAATTAGCAAGGATTTAATAATAGTTTAGGAATCCCTTTTAATCACCTAAATATAACCTTTCTTTAAGATAAACCAGACGTCTAAATTACTTCACCTTCAACACAATGGTTCTCAATACTAACTCCGGGTCGTTTGTGTCTTAATACTAGACTTTTAAAGATTAATTCCCTATGATAATACCTGTAATTATGGTGTAAGTAGTTAGTCAATAAATTCCGGGCTATTGTAAGGTGTGAGGCTCAGACGAGTGCCACTAAGGTAGGAATTCTTGGAGACTTCAACACACCGTAAAGAAGTAATCTGATCTGGTCTCTCCCTGGGTTGGTCAGGGTAGGGTTGATGCAAGTTACATTAGGTTGTGTTAGGTTAGCTTAGGTTTAATATATAGTACTCAAGTGGTTAAGTCATCGTACTCACGGTTAAGGATATCTTACTCAATGGGTAGATTCATAGTACTCAGTAGAAAGATAATAGTACTCAAGGGGTTAAATCATTATTTCAGACACATCAATTTAGGTAAAGGAATTATTTCTTATTAAAACCTAAAACTCATATATTTCATTAACTTACATATAAATGCATATAAACCATAAAGTACACATGTTTATTATTTTTAGTTAACTTGTATTTGTAGATAAAACTAAAGAAGGGTTTAATATAATGCTAAATTTTCCAACAATACGATAAATTAAAATTTTCTATTAAGAAGAATATTTTATAGATTTTAGCTTCAATAGCTGTGTTAACTTTATTAGCTGTACTAACTTCAATAGCTGTGTTAACTTCAATAGCTGTGTTAACTTTAGTAGCTGTACTAACTTCAATAGCTGTGTTAACTTCAATAGCTATCTTAACTTTAATAGCTATATTTTAATATCAATAGCTAATTTATGTTATTTTTAAGACTAATTCCTAAAATGCCATAAAATTCTTGGGAATTTCAACCCTGCGTAAAGGAGTTAGCAAGAGTGTGTGATATTGGTTTTCTCTTGAATATATTTCACACAAGAGACATACTATATTTAGCCGCCTTGAGTACGATGACTTAGCCCCTTGAGTACGATGACTTAGCCCCTTGAGTACGATGACTTAGCCCCTTGAGTACGATGACTTAGCCCCTTGAGTACGATGACTTAGTCCCTTGAGTACGATGACTTAGCCCCTTGAGTACGATGAGTACGGTGCCGATGACTTAACTTGAGTACGATGACGATGACCCCTTGAGTACGATGACTTAGTCCCTTGAGTAGGACGACTTAGCCCCTTGAGTATGATGACTTAACCCCTTGAGTACGGTGACTTAACCCCTTTAGTACGATGACTTAACCCCTTTATAACGATGACTTAACCCCTTGAGTACGGTGACTTAACCCCTTTATAACGATGACTTAGCCCCTTGATTTACGGTGAGTATCATACTAAAAGGGTTAAGTCATCGTTATAAAGGGGTTAAGTTTCTATACCATTGTTAATATTTATATGTATTTGTTGTTGTTATTGTCGTTGTTGTTGTTCTGTTTCGTCTTCCTATTATCTATGTACTTTCCTGCTATTTACCTCTTCTTCTTCTTCTTCGTCTTCGTCTTCCTTCTCCCATTATTTTTCTCTTTCGTTTACATTATCCTGTTTATTCATCTCGTTTCATTTCTCATTTCTTTATTGTATTTACCTCCTATTCTTCTCTTTCTATTCCATTATCTCGTTTCCCATCATTAATTTCCTTTTCCTTACTCCCCTTTCATTCTATTTTCCTTCCTCTGCTTTAATTCTCTCATTCTCTCCAATTCCTTTTCATTTCTCATCGTTTCTTTTATCTTATCTTAGTCTCCCTCTTCTTTATCTTATTTCCTCCTTATTTTATTTCATCTCCTACTTTCTTTTTATCATTTAATCTTCGCTAATCACATTATTATCGTTTTTATTATCATTCCTATCTTTATTATTTCTCTATTCTCTCGTTTCTCTTCATCTGTTCACTATCTCCTTATTTGACCTTCAATTCACTCAGTGTTGCTTTCATGCCTTAAAGAACGAGATATTGAACTAGTAGAGGAAGGAAGGAAGGAAGGAAGGAAGGAAGGAAGTGTTGAAGGGGGCGAAGGAAGGGGGGCCAACTTCCTCTGTACACAAAGATGGCGTCTTGTCAGGCTAATGAATAACATAAGATGATGTGCGCCGTTGCAACATTCCCTCCTTCCTTGCATTTCCATTTTCCCTAACGTATTTACCACCTTTTTACATCTTTATTTACTATTTCAAGGTCTTTATTATCCCTTTGTTCTATCTAACTCATCAAACTCGAACGCTAAGGTAAAGTAAACGGTGAAATAAAAACATAAACAATGAGTGACGTCGGCAATGCGCTTCGTCGGTGTGCTTGCGGTAATACGTGACCCTGATTGGCTGTCCGGAGGGTGACGTCAGCGTCTTGACACCAATGAAAACAGTGGTAGCGACGCATGCGGTTTGTCTGCGGTTTCTCTATTGACACGACGAAGCCATAAGAGGTAGCTGACTGACAGAGGGGCGGAGTATCGCCTAATATGGTATGTTTTCTGAATTTTGTCTCCAATGCGCCTTAACTGCGCTTGTATATGGGCGCTTGGGCATTTTAAGTATCTCTTATCTTGCTTTCTCTCATTCTCGCTCTTGTTCTCTCAGTTTAGTGAGTTATTTGGGTCATAAAGAGAGAAGGGAGGGATGAAAGACTGTGATAGAGAGAGGTGTAGAGAAATAGAGAGAGAAAGATGAAGAGCGAGAGAAACAGATATATAGAGCGACAAGTTGAGAGAAAGAGACAGAGAAATAATGGGAGAGAGAGAGAGACAGACAGAGAGATAAAGAGAGAGACATTCCCGGAAGTTACAAACGCCATGAATCGGTTTTAGTTCTGACGTGAGAAAAAGTCGAGGTTACATGTGTGTGTGTGTGTGTGTGTGTGTGTGTGTGGTTATATCAGTTCCTAACCTAACCTAACCTAACCTAACCTAACCTAACCAAATCAGAACATACAAAATAAAAGGAAAAATCCCTAAAACACACACACACACACACACACACACACACACACACACACACACACTAATTTCACCTGTAATCAACACAAATTCTATACAGGTTATGGCAGGTATGTAGTGCAGAACTCGACAGGTTGATAATGTTATTGCGTTCACTAACAATCAAATGGCCTCGGGGAAACCACTCTTAACAAGCGGATAAAACGATGCAAAAACAGTGATCGCCATTGTTGTGTGTGTGTGTGTTTTGGGGGATTAGGAGATGGGGAGGATGGAGGGGGGTGAGGGAGGGATATAGGGGGGTGAGGGGATGGGGGGGGTGAGGGAGGATAGACGGGGGTGGGTAAGGGTGATGGAGGGAGAGGAGGGAGGTGTGAGGCTGTAGGGGAAGGAGAGTGTGTGAGGAGGGAGGGTGAAAAGGTGGGGAGGAGGGAAGTTTGCTCCAGTTGTTGTGTATCGACCGTGGGGAGGGGTAGGGGAAGGGGGAGGGGGGTAGGGAGGGTAGGGCGTGGGAACAATTTGGTCTGTCCTTGTTAACTACTTCCGCTGTTCCTAATGTGCTTTGGATGCTGTGAAGGGGGTAGGGGAGGTAGGGGGGTTGAGGGGGGGAGTAGGAAAGCAATACTAATCCAAATCATATTCCCTTCCTCTCTCTCTCCCCCTCCCTCCCACGAGATGACTGCCACCTGTTAGAATGTTGCTCTGGTGTGAGGGAGGGAAGAGTAAGGGAGGAGAAGCTCTAATCCCTCGCCCCCCTACTCTCCTAACTCCCTCCCTCATTCCCTTCCCTCCCAGGATCACCCCTCTCCCTCCTCCCCCATCTCCCTCGTTCACCCCCTTTCCCATCCTTCCTCTTTTCGTCTCTTCTTTACCTGCTCATCACCATGTCCTTGCTTCCATCCCTCCCACCCTCCCTACTTTTCTGTCTCCCTTCCTCCCTTTTCCCTCCCTCCCCCTCCCCACTCTCCTGTACTGTCCCTCCTCCCTCCCTCCTGTGTCTCTCCTACCAGCCTCACCATATCTCTCCCTTCCTTATTCCGTCCTACACTCCCTCCCCCCCCTTTATATCCCCCCTGGCAACCTCATCATATCCTTCCCTTCTTCCTTCCTTCTCCCCCCCCTCTCCTGCCTCCTCCACACCAGGCTGGAGTCATGGCACACACAGGCCATGGAGGAACATAGGACCACCATCAATAATTATTACCACACAATTACACAGACATGACCCACTGAGCCCTTACTTCCGCTGGCGTCAGTTGTCTCTCTCTCTCTCTCTCTCTGACACACACACACACACACACACACACACACACACACACACTCACACACACATCCTGTTAAAAAATCATCAGGTAAAATATAGACCTTGTGTGTATAATCTTCAGGTGATCAGAATATATTTAAATCTTCTCAAATATAAACATTTCCAACATTTTTATGGATTTCTTTCAATCAACTAACATGACCTTAATAGATGAGTGAACAAGGAACCATAAAATCATTCTCTCGTGGCTAAAACACCTCTAAAAAAACACAGACACACAACCACGCCATAATTTCAACGTAGTTCCGTGTGTGTG